TGGTGTTGAAGGGGCCAGCCTGGGGGGTGGGATGGGATGGGTAGAAGTGGTGGCAGCAGAAGGAAGGAAAGCTGGGGGGAGTGGGGGGTAGGGAAGACGCATGGCAGCGAGCAGGTGGTCATGCATAAAATGCAGCGACAGCTGGGCAGGAGTGTGGGGCCGATGCCCCAGGGCCAGGACTGGTGGGGACCGAGGTGGGGCGGCAGAAGTGCAGGGCTCAGCATGGCAGGGGCTGTATGGAGCTGGGCCAGGCTGCACCAGCAGGGAGAAGGGGGAGTTACCTCAGCTCCATAGAGCTCCTGCCAGCCCTCCTGCCACCCTGCCCTGGGCCCCCACCAACCCTGACCCTGGGGCATTGGCATGGGCCCTGTGCTCCTACCCAGCTGTCACTACATTCATGCCTGCACACCTGCTTGCTGCCACACAGCTTGCCGCTGCTGCTGCTACCACCATTTCCCCACTTTCCTGCCCGCCACTGCTGCTGTTACCACCATTTCCCCACTTTCCCACCCACCACTGCCGCTTCTCCCCCACCCCACTGGCTGCTCCCACACCACGTGGTTCAAAGCTGCATCGACAGGCCACAGGACTCAGCAGGAGCCAAGAATCACAGCCCCAGTGATTCTCTGCTGGCTCTGTGTAGTGTTGGCCAGGCCGGGCCAGCCCCTGGTGCATGCTGCAGTCTTGGCTGTGCAGCTGGGAACTGCATGATGCCGGAGTGGCGGGCAGGCAGGGGGCGACGGGGAAGTGGCAGCTGTGGGCTGGAAAGTAGGGAAGTGGCAAAAGGGCAGTGATGGCAAATGGGAGGGGGAAGTGGCAGTGAGCAGGAGCTTGGGGCCCATGCCAGTGCCCCAGGGCCAGGAGCAGCAGGAGCGCAGAGCCCGTGCTGGCAGGGGCTCCACGTGCCATGGCGGGGGCTGTGGGCAATGAGGGAAGGGGGTCGGTGTGTGTGTGGGCATGTTTGTAGGGTGAATCCCACACACACCCCACCATACACATGTACCTATACCCCCCCCTCGCACTGCCATACTCTCCCCCCCAGCCACTGTCCCCCTCCACACACGCTACAACCCTTCTCAGCCACTCTCCCCTCCACATACAGCCCCCCAGAAACCCCATACTTACCCACACTCCACATATCCACACACATACCCACATGCTCCCACACCCTCCTCTACACCCCACATTACCACACACCCACAGCCCCCCACAAATCTATGCCCCCCATAATATACAAGAGTAAGACTTCATTTTAAGCTATTATACAATCACCTCTATGAACACCACACAAATGCATGTAAATCAGGACAAAAATAGTTTTTGAAATCAAATTAATTAATGTTGTGGTAGATGTTTGATTTTTTTTTTTTAATTTTTTTTAGCATATAATTTGTTATTTTTCTGGTTCCAAGATGGCAAACCCCCTGGCTGAAAGGAGTACTTCCAGGGACAAGGGGAGGGACTACTGGTGGCAAAGGTTAGGGATTAGGGGGTGTGACTTCCCATCCCAAAATGGTGACCAGGGGGTGGGGCTACCCATGCATCTTTCGACAGCTTGCCAAAACTTGTTCAGCGGCCCTCCAGCCAAAATCATTGCCTGCCACTGCTCTAGGTACTCAAGAGTCCTCTGTTGCATTAAATGGAGAGCAGCTTTGGGGGAGTGAGTCATTTGGAATCCACAGGCAGTGTAGCAAAATATAAATAAATGTGATCCCTCTCATTTTAACTCATTTTGCATGATATTTTGCCATGTACTCATGGATGATGATTATTTCTTATAGACCTTTTTTTTTAATTAAGGTCATCCTCTCCAAACAACACCAACCCATTTGGATCAACGTTTTGCTTTGGACTGCAGCGAATGATTTTTGAGGTTAGGAAAACATTCATCTTCATTTGGGCAGCAGAAAATGGTGTGGTGTTTGCTTCTTTTTCCTTTTAATGCACTCTTTCTGCTTTTCCACACTGCAAAAGCTAGCATTCAAGAATGGTTATATTATCCAGGAGCTTAAGAGAAGTGAGATCCCCAGATCTGAATCTTTTTTTCATGTGCCAGAACTGGTATTTCTAGCTTGTCATCAGAGACTCGTACTATTAGGAGACATGCTTACTGATTTTTCTAAATACTTGTGGATGGATGGGAGGATTGTTTGTGTTATGACAACCACTGAAGCCTGAAAGTATAGAAATAAATATATATATAATTTTTGAATTCCAGCTGTTCTATTTTTTTTAATGTTCTTTTATTATTGTGAGGTATGCAGGTTGTAGCCATATTGGTCTATAGGAAAAGGCAATCAGGACTCATAGTAGAAAGGGTGTCTTTTATTAGACCAACAAGATTTTTGAAAAAATCTTGTTGGTCTAATAAAAGATATCCTTTCTACTACAAGTCCTTTTTGCCTTTATTGTTTTATTATTTATTTCAGGGAAATTATTTCACTGCTAGTTTTTCTGAAATCCCCTTTGAGATGTGTGACATTTTTTTAAAGCAAAACTTCTGTTTTTCCCTGCCACCCTTTTGCAGGTGATGCAAAATAATCACATAGCATCTGTTACTCTGTATGGCCCTGCCAGGCCCACCAGCCAGTTGAGACCTTCGGACCTTCCCCAGTGAGCATCCCCTTCAAAACCCACTAATCTAAATGCTACAAAATTAGTACAGTGTGCCTTGATTTGCTGCCACTTATAATATGGAAAGCACGGTATGATTTTTTTCCAAAAACAACCTTCCCACCAATGCATGGTGTGGAGGAGAAATTCTCTCAACCCTTCATCATGAGGAATGGAACTAGTGGTGGACGAATGCAGTTAGGTGCCTGCGTCATCATCTTATTCCTCTTGGTTGTCCTCACCCTGTGCAGCACAGGCATGAAGAGACTCTGTATCCTTCCTGAACTGGCAGAAGAGAGAGGTGGAAGAGGAGGCACATAATTGACCGCAAGAGTTAGAAGCACAAACTTTCTGAGCCTTGGAGCATCTGGAAGCAGATACTGATTTTAGTCTGTGTTTATGTTACTGTATTGATGTGGTGGTCACACTTTAAGAAAACAAGTATGTATACAATATATATAAACAAATCGGTATATCTGTGACTAAGGACATTGTACCAAGTGTGACAAAGGTGTATATATGTCCATGATTTCAGGCACCACATCTTTGTATAACTTTAAAACAAGCAAGTAGCATGTGCAGAATACTTGGTTGTAACATTTGCACTACATACACTTTAATTACTTGATAAATGTTTATCTTCACTGAGGAGCATCTGTGTATGACGTGAGTGGGGTGTAATGGTTATTTAATGTACACTGCACAAAGCTTATTTATACTGTGGATCAAATAATCCACCTTCCTGCACTAATACTTGACATGCTGAAACATTTGTTTTCTTGCCATGCCTGGTTTACTAAATTTTTTTTTCATGTGCAGTTTTCTTTAAAAAAATGTCTGGAAGAGAAGGGTATTCCTATGAATGGAAATGTTTTACTTTAAGGGGTTTGATACCATTTTTTTCTTTATGCTGAAATATTAAAAAAAAATAAGTTGCCTCATTTATGTTTGCTCCAAACTCCTTCTCTCCCCTCCTTTTTCCTTGGGGAATTTGTCATGTGTATATATAGTATATTGAAAAATAATTCCCCTGCTCCTTCAATACCAAGAAACCTTTTTCCATAATGTCTGATGTATAATTTTTATTTAATGCCAAAGGTTTAGCCAAAGACATCCTCACTGTAGGTTCACCATTTCTGTACATATACTCTAACTGCACACCCTGCCCCCAGGTAACCAGATAGATGTTTTTTTTCTAGTCGGGAGATGCTGCTCGCTGCGTGTTATCTGAAGTGGATACTTTGGATTTCTAGTTATTTTACCTGTCTTATCTGGGTAGAATAGATGGTCTGTCTTTGCAATATTAACCCTTTTTAAAAAATGGAAAAGAGAAATGTATAATTTTATCCCATTTTTAATATTTTGGTGTAGCAACTTGTGATACATAGACAATGATTTTGTGAGTTTTACTATGTGTGTACAGATTCTGTAAATATGACATTTTTGTAATTCTAACTCCATGTACAGTGTAATCCTGTATAGTTTATCAATGAGTGAGAGAGAACATTTTATTTCCTATCTCATGTTTTGGATCCTGGACCAGTAGCAGGGATACATGTGTTGTGTGTACAATACTCTTTTGCCATTTAGTCTTCCTGTATACTGTGATATTCTAGACTGTTTTAATTAAAACAAAAATGTCCCATTGGGAATCTAACTTAATTGATAAGGAAAAAGTTACTGTTTACCTTTATTCCTAGGTGTTACTCCTGTTGAATTCCTGTTCAGTCTGTGTGGTTTCCTGTGATCATTGCTTGCTAAGGAAATTCTATGCCTCAATCTATTTCTTTATATCCTTTATAATTTTAATCTTGTTTTACATAACCCTCCTGCAAATGTAAATGGAATACATAATGAGCATGTATACTGAAAGGCAAATAAAATGAAACTCAGTTACTGTTTTGCGCTAAATACAGTTGCTGGGTGTTTTTTGTAATAAAGTTGTAAATTTGTTTTATTTATTTCATATCAGTCATTTTATATGTACAGCATAACTGCCATCTGACAGGTCATATTGCCAGTATTTTTGTTCTAACAGTCAGAACAGCACATCTCTTAATAGACATGTAAATACAAAACATCCAATCTGTTTTATAACAGGTATTTGTATGCATAGCATAAACACTTGCATTTCATCTTGTAACAATGCTCTGAGCTAAGAAAAAATTACTTTGAAGCCCTGTAATAAAGAGCCTTCTATGTGTTTGGATATTTTTTTAAAAAAGAAAAAGCAATCTTTGGCATTTGTGGCAGTGGTTCTCAACTTCTGAGACTCAAGGTACCTCTCAGAAATTGTCAGGTTTTAGCTTTTACTATGGAAAGAATAATAAGGGAATTCTTATGTTGTAAATAACTCAAAAAGACCACAACAGACCAGAATGTTTTTGATATTATGGCTTTCTAATTGAATTTTTTTTATTTATCTTATGAAGTGCGTAGGTGTTTGTACACCTAATGGTATTATGACACCCTGGTTAAGAATCACTGATTCATAGACTTCAAAGTTTTTCTGCAATACATGAAGTTAGAAAGATATACACACAGTACTGAATGCAGCCTCTTTGTCTGTTGCCCCTGTCCTCAAGCTGGGATTACAAGAAAGTACTTAAAACATGCTTAAAATCAGTGTGCATGTATATTCTTGGACCTCTAAATAAAAAACTTAGTCAAGTGGCCTCCAGGATAAAGGAAGGATTTATACATAAGATTCTGGGCTCATTTCTCTCTAGTAGTGGCTTGGAAATGGCATTTGAATTAATATACTTCCCTTTGGAATGGGTTAATTTCAGAATTCCATTACCATGTGGTGTGTTTATAGAACATTTTAAAGTCTTTGAATGAATTTGTGTCACCCATTCTTGTATGTTACTATGAATAGCAGTAAAACTGTATTGCTTGCTATGAAAGCTTTCTTTACTAAATCGCTTGGAAAACTGACATTTGTTAAAGACTCCAGTTTAAAAGCACGGGGGGGGGAAACCCACTTATCTACAGAAATAGTACACAGGAGCTATTGCTATGTAAATCTCCTGAACCAGTGACTATTGATTTGGAGAAAGGGGACATAACTAAGCCTAAGAGCAGGGGTTGGGAATTATTTGAACTGATGGGCCACGTGGGGAAGTTTTGGTGATCTGTTGTTGGCTGGGTCAGCACCCCCTACCTCCACTGCCCCAGTCCTGCAACAGCTCACCCTAAATGGTTCTGCCATGGGCCCTGGCCTCACATTGTCACCACCTGGTAATCCCAGGGTCTCCATGTAGACTAGTCAGCAACCCTTGTGGGCAGGGTTAGCTTGGCTGGGATGAGGCTGTGGACAGGAGGAGAACAGTACCTGGGAGCAGTATGGGTGGGCAGGGGCTGGGGCTGGGATTGTGGGGTGCATACCAGCCTTTGGCTTCTTCACTATTCCTTCCATCCAGAAACAGCACACAGACACATCAACTGCAGGTGCTTCCTCAACCCAAAAGCTGGCATCCCAAGCAGCTAAGCTGAGGTCACTTGGAGCCTCACAACTCCACTGCAGCCAGCAAGGTGCAGGCCTGTCATGGATGTGATGGGTCTGGGCCTTCCTTAGCCAGGACTGTGTGCATGCATGTGGTAGCTGGAGGTTATGACACCTCCTACCCACCTTTCACCAGGAGGATCCTTGCCAGCAGTCCCACCAGGCCTCCCTCACCCTGGCAGAGTGCAGTTTTACTGGTTATGGCCAAGTCCTTGGGCCTCTTCCTTCCCCATAGCCCCAGCCCATACCTCTAACTTTGTCCTGGCATGGAAGCTCAGCAGGGACATGTTCTCCTGCTGGCTGCTGATGCAGTTACTGCCCCTCTAGCTCAGAGAGGGGGGCATTAACTGGTTTTAAAACAACAGAAATAGGTGCAGATGGAGTGAGGAGAGTGGCACTCACTCTGTCTGCAGGTGGAGCTTGGGGAACCCCAGCAGTGGGAGATTCACCTTCAGGAACAGCTGCTCCACCAAACCAGAATCCAGGCAGATGTGGTGAGTTGTCACAACATCCCCAGCAATGCTGAACACCCTCTCACTCAGAACATGGGTCAAGGGGCAGGACAGGTGTTCCTGGGCAACCATGGCTGTGCCTTGACCAGTAGGCCAAGGGGTTACAGTCCAGCAGCTTCACATCCTTGACAAGATAAGACTTGGCACTACCTGCCCGAGGCTGGGGTCTGGACCCCAACATTGAAGCCATGCCCTTGGTACACATTGCAGTGGCTGGCATGAAGGAGACTGGCTGGTTCTGGTGATGGGAGTGCTGGCATAAGAAAGCGGATCCCCCTCTTCCACATCCCCTCGCCTCTGTCCTTCTGCCTCTCTGACTTGACCAGCACCTGCATCCAGTGATCGAGGGTTTTGGTGCTGCCAGTACGCGTGCTCCCCTTCACCATCAGGTCGCACGTGCCTGCCAGCATGTGGACCGTACTGGACTGCAAGGGATCCAGCCATCTGATTCCCTCCTTCAGCCGGCTCACCAGTTCATGCATGTCTGGTGACAGCAGCTTGCCCCAGCCAGGAACATCAATTCCCTGGAACTTCTCCATTTGATTCTCAAGTTCCCTCACCACGAGGGCATGGCCAGCGCTGAAGGTCTCGGTGGTCTTGAGGAAGGCCTTGAGGACCACCAAGATCTGGGAGATGGTATCCCACTCAGCTTTGTTAAGGGGACCACTGATCCCAATCTTCCTGAGCAAGGCCATCTCATGGATGACCTGTTGCTGCTCCACCAGCCTCTCGAGAATCAAGTATGGGGAGTTCTAATGAGTCTCCACATCCTGCATGATTTTTGTGCCTGCAGGATGCTCAGTTCTGCCTTTCTCTCCTGCAGCATCTTGCCCCCCTTGATGCTGCAGTGGAAGAAGCCTACCACCTTCATGCATTTTGAATTCATCTGGGTGGTAGTGATGGCGCCATCACTGGCAGCCCCATCCCCCTCCAAGGCATCCCTGACTGTGAGGTGCAGCTTGTGTGCCACACAGTGGATGCCAACAAAGCTGGCATCATGTACGGTCTTAACCATACTGGCCTCGTTGTTGGTGACCATGAACCTGTGGGTAACATCACCCTGCCCAATGAGCCACCCCTGCACCATGCAGTTCATGACCACCATGATTTCCCTTGCCGTGTGGGACTCATCCATCACCTTGGCCTGAAATAGAGCCCACTGGTGGCCTGACTGATCGCCCCAGTGCCCTGTGAGGGAGAGGTAGACATGCTCTCCACCCTGGTTGCTCCAGATGTTGGAGGTGAAGTGCAAGGCTACTTGCAGTCCTGCCTTGTGCAGTTCCTCCTTCAAGTACTCTCTGCATGCCTCGTACAGGGAGGGCACCACTGTCCTGCTAATGGTGGCACGTGAGGGCACTTGGTAGGATAGGACCATGAGCCACCTGAACCCTGGGTGCTCAACTGAGAAGGGCTGGCCATCCAGAGCAAGCATGCTCTGGGTGATCTTGCTCACCCTTGCAATGTGCCCACCTTTGTCTGCGGCTTTCCCCTACTGCTCCAGGGTGGCCTGCTTCTGCTTTGGAGGGATGGGGGCTTTGGAGTGGATGGGGGACTTCCCTTTGGGCATGCTCCCACTGATGCCAGGCTGAGGAGGAAGAAGGGCAAGGGGATGCTGCCGCCTAAGATGCAGTAGCATTGCCATGGTGGTGAAGTGTTTCACCTTCTTGCCCCGGCTGATCCGCCTTCAGCAGTGCTGGCGGATAGCATACTTGGGATCATCTGCCATCTCAAAATTCTCCCACACTACACTACTCCCCTGCTTCTGGGATGAGGGTGGAGATCCTGCCTTATCTCCCTTCTCAGGAGACGGACACAACAACAGGATGAGCTGACTCAGCTGAGCCACTTACCTCCACAACCTCCTCTGAGGACAAGGAGACCTGGATCTAGGGGAACTATGAGGGGCGTGGAGCACAAATTCAGATTCCCCCTTGGTCCCCAGAAATTCTTTAGCTAGGGCTTTCAGGTCCCCTGGTTCCAGACCCAGCTCCTCCTCTGACAGTGGGAAGCTCACGCTGGGAGATCAAATTGGGATGGAAGAGGAGACTGTCATTCTGCTGCTGGTGCCTATTTCTGGAGTTAAGGGAGGTGGTAAAGGTACTGCTCCCTAGTGCGGGATGAAACGGCACTGTTCTGTTTTGACTTGCATTTCGACGTTTCGATAGAACAGCATTTTGTTTTGAATTTCATTCAGATTTGAAACCTCTGTTCTGTTTCGTTTCATCGAAACAGTAATGCTGTTTTGACACTGTTTCGATGTTTTGCCTGTAGGCTATAATGGGGAAGCTCGAAACAGCCTCTTTCATCTGGCAGGCAGATTGGGGGCCCGCAACGCTGGGAGGGCTGCAGGGGCTGTGCCAGTCCTCCCGGGGTTGTGGGCCCCCGAACTGCCTGCCAGATAAGGGAGGGAAACTGGGTGCTGCCGCCAGTCTCAGGCAGCAGCACCCGGCTTTTCTCATCCAGCAAGAAGATCGGGAGCTGCAACCCCGGGAGGGCTGCAGGGGCTGTGCCAGTCCTCCCGGGGTTGTGGGCCCCCGAACTGCCTGCCAGATAAGGGAGGGAAACTGGGTGCTGCCGCCAGTCTCAGGCAGCAGCACCCGGCTTTTCTCATCCAGCAAGAAGATCGGGAGCTGCAACCCCGGGAGGGCTGCAGGGGCTGTGCGATTGGGCTCGGTTCCCTTCCCTAGCCTGATCGAGCTGGGGGAGGGAACAGAGCCGGATCACTCAGTTCCCCTCCCCAGTGCTGCGATTGATCGGGCTGGAGAAAGGAACTGAGCCCAATTGCTCAGTTCCACTCCCCGGCGCTGCAATCAATCAGGCTGGGGAGAGGAACTGAGCCCAGGGCTGGAGAAGGGAACTGAGTCTGATTGATTGCAGCACTGGGGAGAGGAACTGAGTGATCAGGCTCAGTTCCCTTCCCCTGTGCTATGATTGGCTTCCCACAGCCCAGCTGCAAGAGGCAGGGAGAGCCAGACTTTTTCTTCTGTGTTGTGTTTAATGTTGTATGTCTACCTAAAATAATATCTCTTCTTCTTGTTCTATGACTCTCTGACTTCTGTGTTGTGTTAATCTGAATCTCTATCTGACTTCTGTGTTTTCTGCAGTCTGATTATAACTATAATTAATAATAATAACTATATATAATCTGATCTCTTTGAT